GAAACTTTTTATCAGCGCAGCATTTCTACTTACAAAGCAAAGATCACTTTTAAAAGCAATTATTAACGCTTTTTAGTTGTAAAATAATTTGCTTTCTCATGTGACTGTCAAACACTTTCCGAACGACAGTGCACTTTCTTGTAAAATAGCCAAGTTTTACATACATGAGTTTAAACCGTGGTTTTAAAAGTGCGATGCTTTCAAATTTAATGTTTCCATATGATGAGTACGTAACGGTTAGTATACGCAGTACGAGCTATATTAAATACAGAATACAGGCGTTTATGGCTAAATTGAACTACTTTAGAACGCGCTTTTGATAAACACGAGCTAAAAATTATTTTAATACATGTAAAACGGATTAAGCTCAAAGCAGTACGTGCTCTGACCTAGCCAAGTAATTTAAACGCAGTCGAAGTATCCGATTGCCTTTCGCCAGAGACTTGTTTATACCAGCGCAGCATTTCTTGTAGAAATTACATTAATAGCACTGCTAAATGGAATCACCGACAAACACACGCCTACTTTAAGGCAAAGATCACCTAAGAATCCAAGCAAAATAGCGTAACGCTTGTTGGTTCTAAAACCTGTGCTTCTAGTTGACACAACATTAATTCCTTCCCTGTTTGCATACGAAGACAAATTGACGAACGGATTCGTCCAAGTAACTGAATAAACCTCAACAGATACTCCTCAATGTCGCTTTAACAATTCGAGGACAGTTTTTTTGCAGTGATTTTTAAGGCTCTTTGGCTTATTCGCTTTTCGCTGAACGAAATCCCATCGTCAGGCTGCAATAGCTCTTTCACACTCCTGTTGATCGCATCTTCTCCATATCAAGTTGAAGTACAATATCGGGAACAAATGTGCACAATTCGTCCAAATATACAGCAATGATCCACGCTCAATTATTTCAATGTCCTTTTAACAATTCTAAGTCCATTTCTTGCGGATGATATTATTAGTGTTCTTTAAAATATTGTTATTTATACAAAACCCATCTCTATAATTGATGTGTCGGGAAAAAAAATTCGCCTTACTAGTACCCTCTAGGATATTCCAAACATATACGTAAAAGGCACTTGGAAAAAAAGTAATACTAAGTAAGGGAGGTAGGAGTAACGTGTTTAATCTGACTTTAATGAATAAATTAATGAGAATCGAGTGAGTGAGTGAGTGAGTGAGTGAGTGAGTGATCGAGTGCCATTCGAGTGCCTCCAAAAGCCCATGGCATGACTATGTCATCCATGAGCTAAAAAAGGGACATCTGGACAAATGGAGATTTATTTGGCGAGAATTTATAGGTTTGGCAAGTTGACAAAAGAGGCAGGTCGATAATTGTGGGTTTTACGAAAATGACAAATTTTTCGAAATTGGCGAATTTGGATGCATCAAAGATCTGGCGAAAATTTTAAATGAGACAACAAAAGAGGCCTTCTTGGTTTGCAACCACGTGACAAGGCTACCATGTGGGGGTTCAATACAATAGTATTTTTCTCTAAGTTTTAACACGAAAATAGAGTTAAGTTCCCAGAGGAGAGAAATGCTTAATTTTCTTGAGTACCAGCATGGCCGCCGTGACGGCGAGTGCAAACCAACAATACTGACAGTTAGCGATTTCACGAAATTAGCAAATTGAGATAATGGGGAATTGGGCAAGAATCCATCAAAGGTTTGGCAAAAACTCAAATGAGGTTACAAAGAGGGAGATCTTGACAAATGGTGATTATAAAAAGAAAATGGCAAATGTAGGCGAAAAAGGAAAAAAAATTGGGCAAAAATGGAGAGTTCAAGGGTTTGGCCAATTACAAAGGGGTATTTTGACAAATGACAATTTTATAAAATTTATAAATTTGGCAAAAAAATTTTAAAAAGTTTGGCAAAAAATTGAGCAGGATGACAAAAGAGGCATGATCGATAATTGTGGGATTTACGAAAATAACATATTTTGCAAAATTCGCGAATTTGGCAAAGGAATCATTAAAGCTGTGTGAAAAAAAATAAATGAGACAACAAAAGAGGCATATTGACAGTTGGCGATTTTCGCGAAAATGGCAAATTTGAGAAAACGGGGAATTGGGCAAGAATCCATCAAAGGTTTGGCAAAACCTCAATTGAGGTGTCAAAGAGGGGAATCTTGACAAATGGCTGTTACAATAAGAAAATGGCAAATGTAGGCGAGAACGGCAAATTTTTTGCAAAAATGGCGAGTGTGCCCAACATTCATCAAGGGTTTGGCCAAATATTCAAATAAGATGACAAAACAGGATATCTTGACAAATAGCGATTTTACGAAAATGACAGGTTTGGCAAAAATTAAAACAAGATGACAGAAGAGGCATTTCGATAATTGTGGGTTTTACGAAAATGACATATTTGCGGAACCGGCGAATTTGGCAAGGACTGAGACAATGAAACAACTAAACAGGCATATTGACAGTTGGCGATTTACACAAAAATGGCAAATTTGAGAAAAAGGGGAATTGGGCAAGAATCCATCAACGGTCTGGCAAAACCTCATTTGAGGTGACAAAGAGGGGAATGTTGAGTAAAGGTAGATTTCGACAAATATGGCGAGTGTGCCAAAAAAATCATCAAGGGTTTGGCCAAATATTCAAATGACATAACAAAAAGGGGCATGTTGATAGCTGGCGATTTTTAGGACAATGACAAATTTTGCAAAGATGGCGAATTTGGCTAGAAGTTATCAAAGGTTTGACAAAAATGTACAAAGACATGAAAAAAAGGAGCATCTTGACAAATGGCGATTATAACAAAAATGACAAATTGAGCAACATTTCATTTAAGGTTTGCCAAATTCAAATGAGATGACAAAAGAGGCAAGTCGATAATTGTGAGTTTTACGAAAATGACAAATGTTGCAAAATTCGCGAATTCGGCAAGGATTCATCAAAGGACTAGGAAAATTGCCTGTTGATAATTAGCAAGAATAGCAACTTTGGCTAAAATGGCGAATTTGGCAAGAACTTATCAGAGGTTTGGCAAAAATTTTGAACAAGATGACAAAAGAAGGATGTCGTTAAATTGTGGGTTTTTACGAAAATGCCATTTTTTTGCGAAATCAATGAATTTCTGGAAAAATCCATCAAAGGTTTGGCAAAGTTTAAATGAGACAGCAAAAACGGGCATCTTGTACAAAAAGCGTTATTAATAAGAAAATGGCAAATTTAGGCAATAAAGGGAAATTTCGTCGCTAAAAAAATGACGGGTATGCCAAACATTAATCAAGAGTTTGGCCAAATATTCAAATCAGATGACAAAACGTGGCTTTTTGACAGCTGGCGATTTTTAGGAAAAATAACAAATTTGGCAAGAAGTTATCAAAGGTTTGACAAAAGAGATGACAAAAAGGGGCATCTTGACAAATGGCGATTATAACAGAAATGGCAAATTTGGCAACAATACATTTAAGGTTTGCCAAAAATTAAATGAAATGACAAACGAGGCATGTTGACTGTTGGCGATTTTTACAAAAATGACAAATTTGGCGAAAATAGAGAATTTTGGCAAGAAGTAATGAATGGCTTGCCAAATGACAAGGCGAAAAATGGCCTGTTGGTAATTAGAGATTTTTACAAGGATGGCAAATTTGGGAAGAATATAACAGGACAGGCTTGAACAAAATTCAAATGAGATAACAAAAAAAGCCTACCTTGACAATTACTTATTTTTCGAAAAAGGCAAATTTTTTCCAAAAATGGTGAATTTGAGAAAGGTTAATCAAATGTTTAGCAAAAACTCATAAATGAGTTGACAAAAAGAAAGCATGTGAAAATTTGGGTACCAGTTGAGATTGAACCTCGTGTGGTCCCCGATCTAATGGTGCTGGAATGACAGAAAAATATTTGACAATCGAAATGACATTGTTATGAAGAAAAAATAAAGCATTTTTATTGTCGTTGACAAAGATATGTCCTCTGACTGGAAACCTTCCAACAATGCATCGAGATGGAATTAACTAATTAAGAACACCGTACTAAAAGTAAGCTTGAACAAATGTGGCTATAGAAACGCCAGTAATTCCTGTAGTCATAGGTGCATCATAAGTAATCAACAAAACAACGTGTTTAGCTGTTTAATTTTTGGCAGTAACCTGTGTACAGCCACCCTCTACCCTCAACAGAAAAACTCGATGAGGGAAAAGATCAGTTTTTTAAAGCATCATTTTCGATTATGTTTCCCGCGAATTGAAACATAACTTATATTTAGTTTTTCCTTGTTTTCTGTTCTTGCTGATGGGGATGTGCTGCTGGGCGAGGTCGCATTTTCACGTCTAGATTAGCTATAATGAGGTTGAACATTATAATGGTGTCGCACATTTTTGAGTAGGAATTCAACGGAAGATTCGCGGTTGAAAAGTTGACTTTATAAGGTAGATGCATAGAAAGAAAGTGACTACATATATTGTGATCGCGTAAATTACATTTGTCAAAAGGTGGATAAGATGGCTTCTATAGGATATATTAGTAAAAAGTACTTTCTGCCTAAAAAATCCAAAAAATAAAAAAAAAGTACCAAAAAACACGGGAGATTAACAGGTTATTAAATTGATAAAAAGATAAAAAAAAAGTATCAAAAAACACGGAAAATTATCAGGTTAATAAAAATGTCAGAAAAAATAAAATTGATTTAAGGAAAAGAATATAATTAAAAAATAAAGAGCCATGTCTAGTCAATCTTATGATAAAATGCCTTTGGCTGAATTAAAAAAATTATTGAAAAGGAAGAGGAAAAAGAATAAGGAAGATTTTAGTAAACTTAGGCAGAAGTTACTTGAAGATATTTTGAGAGAAGATAAGATTAGTGATAAAATAAGTAAAAAAGTAGCAAAGGTAAATAAGGCTAAACCCAAACCCAAACCCAAACCCAAACCAAAAAAGAAAAAGCTTGATTATGAAGAGTATTTTGAAGAGTGTATCAGAAATAAGAAAATTCCAGAAGATGCTCCCCCTTATTTAAAACAAGCAATTAGGAGAGCTATAAAGGAGCGCGATCAGGGCTTAACCAGAGAAAAATCTGCATTGGTTGGATTTGCAAATTTGTATAAGGTTAAGGGTGAATCTGGTCTTACTCCTTTTCAGTTCTTTTCAAAACACAAGCAGTTACTTAAGGATTTTTTCTATTATCACCGTAACATTAAGTTTACTATGGTATTAGTTTGCATGATGGAGTATAGATCTGGTGATTTTAAATTACAGGTTGTTCAACAAGATAAGACTTATTTTCATTCAGAAACTTATATTAATCTTAAGTCAACTGAAGAGAGAAAAGTAGTTACTGATGCTATTCGCGATATTTTAAATAAGTTAAGTTTTTATCAGTTGCATGGAAGTGGCTGGTATTTTAAGGAAGTTTTATATTTAGAGATACATACTTATGATTTTAATCCAATTAGGGGTTCTTCTTATATTCCCCTTCCAGATTGGATAATGAGGAAAAAGGCTATAACCAGTATTAGAAATAAAGATAACAAGTGTTTTATCTGGTCTATATTACGTTATCTTCATCCCTTGCCAAAGTATGATTCTAGTTTGAAAGATCTTAGACCTTATGAGAAAGACCTTAAAATACCAAGTGGGTTTAAATTTCCTGTTAAAGTTTTTGATATTACTAAATTTGAGAATGCTAATCCAAATCTTCCAGGAATAAATGTATTTTCTGTGAATGACAGAAATGTAATTTATCCTTTGAGAATGGCTTTTAAAGATCCAAATAAAACAATAGATTTATTCCTTTATGAGGAGAATGGCAAATGTCATTATTCACTAATTAAAAATTTTTCAAGATTAGTACGATCTCAGATAACTAAATGTACAAGCCAACCTTTAAAAATATGTAAGAGATGCTTTAATCATTTTGTATCAGAAGAAAGGTTTAGAACTCATATAAAATATTGTATGAATAATGAAGTAGCTATAGCAAAAATGCCAAAAGAAGGAAAAGATGATATAATAAAATTTAGAAATACTCAAAAACAATTTCCCCTTCCTTTTGTAGCCTATGCTGATTTTGAGTGTTTTACAAAGCCAATGAGTAGTTGTTCTCCAAACCCAGAAGAATCATATAATTATAATTATCAAAAACATGAACCATCAGGATTTTGTATTTATTTTCAAGGAATAGTTGATACTAAAATTAAACCAATAATATACACAAAGCAAACTGAAGATGAAAATTTAGCAAAAATATTTGTAAATAAACTTGTAACTACAATTCAAAATATTTATAAAGATTATTATCGTAGATTAAAGCGAATTATATTAACACAAGAAGATCATTTAAATTTTGTTAAAGCAAAAACTTGCCATATTTGTCAAGGTGAAATAAAAGAAGATGAGGTAAAAGTAAGGGATCATTGTCATTTTACAGGAAAATATCGAGGGGCTGCTCATGGTCGTTGTAATGTGAAAGTTAGAAAACCTTTACTACTTCCAGTTATATTACATAATCTTCAGGGATATGATGCTCATTTATTCATTAAACAACTTTCTAAGCTTCCAGGTAAATTTAGTTGTATACCTTCAACTGAGGAGAAATATATATCATTTTCTGAGGAGTTTGTGTTTGACAAATATTATTGTGTTAAAAATGGAAAAATGAGGAATTTAAAGTTTGAAATACGTTTTATAGATTCTTTTAAGTTTCTACAAACATCACTTGCTAATCTTGTATCAAATTTGCAACCAGAAGATTTTATTAATACTAGACGATTATTTAAAGAAAATACAGAATTACTTACTAGAAAGGGTGTCTTTCCATATGATTATGTTTCATCACTTGAAAAACTAGATGAGCATCAGCTTCCACCCAAAAAAGAATTTTATTCTAAATTAAATGATGAGGATATATCAGATGAAGATTATCAACATGCATTGAATGTATTTCAAAAATTTAATTGTAAATCAATCAGAGATTATCACGATCTTTATCTTAAGTCTGATGTATTACTTCTATCTGATGTTTTTGAAAACTTTCGTAAAACTTGCCTTAAACATTATAAGTTAGATCCTGCTCATTATTATACATCACCTGGGCTGGCTTGGGATGCATGTCTTAAAGAAACGCGACAGGAATTACAGCTATTAACTGATTATGATATGTTAATGATGGTTGAAAAAGGTATTCGCGGGGGTATATCCCACATATCAAAAAGATATGCAGAAGCAAACAATAAATACATGAAGGATTATAATCCAGATAAGGAGTCAGTTTACATTCAGTATTTGGATGCAAATAATCTTTACGGATGGGCTATGTCTCAACCACTTCCAACACACGGATTCAAATGGATGAAAAATTTAACAAAAGAAAAAGTTATTAAAATTCTTAGTAGGAAAGATGGCCAAAATGGTTTTATTTTTGAAGTAGATTTAAATTATCCTAAATCTTTATGGAAAGAACATAATGATTATCCCTTAGCACCAGAGAAAAAAAAGTCAACTAATGTTGAAAAACTGTTTTGTGATTTTTATAATAAGAAAAATTATGTTGTACATTATAAGAATCTGCAACAGTATCTTAAAATGGGAATAGAAATAACGGCAGTTTATAGAGGTATAAATTTTCTTCAATCTGCTTGGATGGAACCTTATATAAGAAAGAATACTGAATTACGTAAAAAGGCCGCCAATTCTTTTGAGAAAGACTTTTTCAAACTAATGAATAACTCAGTTTTTGGTAAAACAATAGAAAACATTAGAAAAAGGCAGAATATAGAATTGGTAGATAATTGCAAAAGAGCGCTAAAATTAGTAGCGCAACCCAATTTTCAACGTGCTACAATATTTGATAAAAATTTTATAGCAGTACATATGAAAAAGCAAGATATAAAGTTTGATAAACCTGTTTATGTAGGTCAAGCTATTTTAGATTTGTCCAAAACTTTAATGTTTGATTTTCACTACAATTACATTAGAAATAAATATCAAAATAAAGCTGAATTATTATTCACAGATACAGATTCTTTAATGTATGAGATAAGAACAGATGATTTTTATAAAGATATTGCACGGGATATAGAAAGCAAGTTTGATACTTCAGATTATCCCAAGGAACATCCTTCTGGAATTTTAACAGGTGTAAACAAAAAAGTAATTGGAATGTTTAAAGATGAAGTAGCAGGTAAACAAATTACGCATTTTATTGGCCTTCTTTCTAAACTTTATTCTTTCAAAGTAGAAGAGGATAAAACAACTAAAAAATGCAAGGGAATGAAAAAAAATGTGATAAAGAAAGGAATACAATTTGAAGATTACCACAACTGCTTATTTTCAGGTGAAAAACAGATGAGAAAGATGAATATTATACGCAGCGAAAATCATAATATATATTCAAAGGAAGTTAATAAAATTGCTTTGAGTTGCTTTGATGATAAACGCAAAGTCTTAAAGGATAAAATACATACAAAAGCTTTGAGACCTCCTAAAATAGTATAAACTAAAAAGTAAATGGTATACTCTCAAGAAGAGATCCAAAAATATTTAGAAATAATGGAGAGTAATATTAAAAATAATTCAAGTCCTGTTTTACCTTCAATTAATAATGTAATTGAAAAGAGGAGTGGGTGTTGTGAAAATCCTAAATTTATTATCTGGAGTGGTTATCGTCTTTGTGAAAATTGCTCCACAACTTCTGGCCATGTTTTAGGCTATTTTGATGCTAAAGAATATGATAGATTCCATTTTCAGAAAAAGAGTGTATATCAGCCTAAATATTATTATGAGAAGAAAGTTTCTCGCATTTCAGATATAATTGATCTGTCTGATGAGGAAAAGTCTTTGGTTTATGATAAACTTATTAAAATAGATGAAAAAATAAAGAAAAAAATAAATGAGGATTTAGGGCGTAAGAGGTTAGTTAATGTATTTTATTTAATAAAAAAAATATTAGAGGAAATGGAAAGTAATAAGAGTGAAGAAATTACTTTAAAAATAGGTAAGAAAACTTTAAATAATTATGATAAATGGTGGGAAAATTATCAAAAACTTAGAAAGTAATTCTGTAATAAATTTATTACAGAATTAAACCCTTGCAGCAGGGGGGTTTTGGGGGGACAAGGTCCCCCCATTATGCAACCCCATTTTTAAAGGACCAGAATATTATTCCTAGTAAATAACCAAGTACTTCTGATTCTTTGAATGGAGAATTCATGATATAGACACTTCCTCTCCCCAGTCTGTATTTTTTATAAAAAGCTTTGAATGCTAAATTGAATATGAGATGATTTGCTATAACAGGCGAATTTGCCATTAGTGAATATCTATCCCCAGATAGATCATATATAATATGGCTTAGATCGAGTTTATTACTGAAGTTCTCAGCGTATAAATACTGATAAATTAGGCATGCTTTAATAAAGTTATCAGGATAAAACTGTGTTTTACAGGCTGCAAAATGAGTATTAACGTAATCAACAATTTCTTGTATCATTTTATATTATGCTTAGATTATGTGGCGTAGCAGCAGGGGGGTTTGGGGGGGAGGCACTCCCCCCACCCCATTTTTTGTTATACCTACTAGAAAATCTATCAGCGATTGGTGATTGATCAATTATCATTTCATCTATCAGTTTCATTCTATCTACAAATTCATCTTTATTAAACTCATCTCCTCTTAGAGCTGCTCTTAATTCAACAAGTGTTTTTTCATATGTTGTATAAGCTATTCTTGATAACTCTATTTTCTTTTTGTAATTTTTATTTTTCCCAACACCAGCCATTATAACTCCAGCCCCATTTACAACCCCTAGAATAACTGGGTTCAAAGTTATACCTCCTGTAATAGTTCCTATAGCAACTAAGCATATGCCAGAAATTGTAAATACATCGTCAAGAAATTTGTAACTCTTATAACACTTTTTAAAACACCAAAATTTCTTGTGGTAATGTCTATAAAAATCTTTTATAGTTTCTATTTCTGTTTCACTCAGAGATTTATCTATGTGATTAAACTCAAATATATCCTTCATTTTATTCTTAAGTGTATATTAGTGCGGCGTAGCCAAGGGAGGGGTGTTAGGGGAACCGTAGGTTCCCCTTATAGGGGGGTTTTGGGGGCTGCCCGGAGGGCTCGCAATCCCCCCACTATACTATGTAACTTCCGTTTAACTTTTCTTGAAGCATTACTTTATGATATTGCTCAGAGTCAAAGTCGTAAAAGTTTGGAGAGTACATTAATTTATTTAAAACTCCATCTTCAGTTGTAAACTTCCAACGTTGATTAACATTATAAAAAACAGCTGGTATAGTTAATGTTCCGCTATAGTTACTTATTTTAACTTTTGTAACATTTGAATCAAAATTTTCTGTTAGCCATAATACAATTATTTTTCCACTAAATTCACTTAGCATGGTAAAATTTTGAGTTGCTCTATTGATAGTTAAAGTTACTTTATTGTTTGTTTTATCATAGTTTAATTTTACTAAAATATTATTGTTTGTTGATAAATATTTAGTTAGGGTAAAACTCCTATTTCTCCAATGAGTAAAAACAATACATAAAGTAGATTTCGAAGAATGTGTAGGAGAAAAAGTAACATCGTAACCATTAACATGTAAGCCATCTTTTTCTATTTCATCTAGGTCTTTATTAGGTGGTAGTGTAATATTAGGCTTTACAGAATTAATAATAACTCCAGATGAACCTATATTTATTCCATAACTATCCGCATGAGTAAAGTCATAGACCTCACTAAAGTATAATCTATATAAAGCATTTTTAGTAAAAGGAGCTACTTCTTTTACTAAAGCGACTGTTGCAGCACTATTATCATTTTGTCGGTCAAGTTTGATATTTATAATTTCTTTTTGATTTGCATTTATATTAACATTGTATGTCACTTCTGTTGGTTTGATATCATATGCGGTGTGAAAGTCATAAACTTTATCTGGATCGATATTGCTAACAGTACCCGTAATTCCATAAGCAATCATGTAAACTCCTGAAATTTTAAATGGTAATGTAGCCCGTAAAGAAACAGCCAGTGGTATATCAACAAGAATGTGAAGAAAGAATTTACCACCAATACTAATCAACTTTCGAAAATTAACTATTATTCTATGGTAGTAAATAGTAGATGTTATTCCATTTGAATTAGTATACCTATGGGTTAGTTTTCTTATACCCGCATTTCCTATTGTCAATCCTCTTGATGTTCCTTTATCAACACTTATTTTAGATTCATTCCAAAGGGCTCTATTTGTGTTGATTAACTCCAGACACAATGTGTAATGAGTATTTGAAGGTAGACGATAAAAATTAATTCCCATCTTAAATTTAAATCCATGCGTAACTTTCTTATATATAGACATGTAAATTACTTTGTGATTATAATCGTGAAAGTTTCCTTTGTTTGGTGGTAAGTCATCTATCTTATCTATAACAAAACTAGTTCCGGTATCTATTTCATCAGTCCATTGAGATGCGCTTGACATGAGATAAGCAAACTCATCTTTATAATGACTTGGTTCAACTGTAGCATGTTGAACTAGATTGTCAACATAACTTTTGGTTGCTGCTTCATTGCCTTGGGTTGGAGCCCCAAGATTCTCTATTTTATTACCACCCAGGTTGACATCATCTTCTAAAACCCCGCTTATTACAATATTAGGTGTGTTAATTTCTATTCTACCAAGTGGTTTAGTAATTGCTTTTGGTAGATCAAAAAATACTCTGCAAGTTATAGCAGAGTGATTGTTGTTATTATGAGTTCGTAGTTTTACTCCTGACATATTGTAGTTCCAGGACTTGTGGATATTCAATGACCATGTGCCAGTTCGATTTCCACTAACCCAAAAGACAGAATTGGAATGATTGTCGTCCCTGGGAATAAAAAACAGAAAGTCGACGTTGACATTGCGCGATCCAAATTGAAATTCTATTTTGTTAATGTATGTGTTAGCAGTTGGAGCAAATGAAGCAAGTGCTTGACCAGGTGCTGATGTAGTTAAAACAAAATCAGCAGGGGGGCTTTGGGGGGAGGCACTCCCCCCACTGATATATTGTAGATACATTGTTGTTGGTGCAGCTGGTGGAGTTATATTGAAAACACCAATTTGGGCTTCTCCAGAATGATGATCAAGCCTTTCTATTTGTTTACGAACCCATCCACGATTAGCAGCTTGTTTATCTGTGGAGGGATCACCGAGATTATCTATTTCATGGCTGTTAAGATTTAAGTTACCTGTCATAGCAACAGTACCATCTTTTTCCAAATAATCACTTAGATCTGGGGCCCCAGTATTATCATCAACATACTTTTTGGTTGCAGCATCTGTGTCTGATGTTGGTTGTCTAAGGTGAATTATTTTTTTATTATCCATGTTTAGATTATTAGTCATTGTAGATGAACCATCACGGGCAACATACTTTAAATCAGTAAAAGCTAATGGTGTTGGTTGTTTGGGCCCCGTTGGAGTAGGTAAATTGAATATTCTATTGTTGGCCATGTCTAGACTTCCTTTCATTGCATCAGTCCCATTTTTTTAAAGATAATTAGCTAGTTCTTGTTTTGTTGCTGCATAGCTCATTGTATTTGTTACTGTTTGATCAACATAGGATTTATTTGCTGCGTCATCATTATCTGTTGGTGCGCCAACTTTAACCATTTTATTATTATCCATATTAAGATTACTTTTCATTGGGTAGGAACCATCTCTATCAAGAAATGTATTGTCTACATAGTCTTTAGTAGGTGGTTCTTTTCCATCCATTGGTGTGCTAAGATTTGTAATTCGGTACCTATCCTTCATATCAATGTTTGAATCAACTGTCAATCCTGATGTTTTGGGAGAACCACTGGAATTATCATCAACATACTTTTTAGTAGCAGCATCAGTGGTATTACTAGGTGCTCCAACATTTGTGAGTTTCTTTTTATTCATATCATAATTACCATCTGCGGTTAGACTAAATCCAACTCCTGGAGCACCAGGAATACCTTTAGCAAAAGGATGATCAAACGATTGTTCGTTAAATATTCCCATTTTATTTATTGTTTACATAAAAGCAGGGCTTGCAACCCCCCCAGCAGGGCTCGCAATCACCCCATTAAAGTTTATTGCTAAACGTTTTTTTGGTTTATCAACGTATAGAAATGAATATTGTTTTTTAGTTGCTGCCCTATATGATTCTTTATTAACTCCCAACTCAGATGATATTCTGTTTGCTTCCCTCGATGATGGAAATTCATACAAACAATAGTGAGAACAATTCAACCGGATATCCTTTGGAGTTTTATAAAATGATTGACTGAGGTAGATTACAGAGCAATTCTTATGTCGTCCTTGAATGAAATAATCTATTAACTGTCTCTGGTTTTTATCACAGACGTAATCATCAAATATTACAAGTTTTTGATTGTCTTCGTAATCCATTTCTGTAACCGGGATTATTTCATTGTTACTAACATTAAGTATTTCATATCCTAGTTTAGATG